AGATATCAAAGAAGTTCCAGATTAAAAGGAACACTTTATATTGCTTGTAAGTTTGTGAAACTTTTGTTTATAAAACATTGTTTGTTTTAACCAGTTGTAATAACTGTTATTGTAAATTGTACTGTTGTGTGTATATTAAAACGTACTTGTGTTAAAAAAGAAAACTGTGTATCAATCTTTTTGGCAAATATTACAAACTGACTATATATCGCTTTTAGTTAACTGCTAAATCCAAAGTACAATTTAACTACTAAATTTAAATTATCAGTTAACTCAATTTCAGACCATTTGAAATTCTAATACGTAACACAGGCAAGAAATATTATTTTCATTGAAAAAAAACTAGCTTTTCAAAGAATAAATACCTCTACACTTTCATCACCCACTGGTTGAGGTTCATCAGTGTCTGGTTCAATAACACCTGTATTGTCAAGATCTGAAGAAGAAAAAAAGAACAGTGGAAAGTCAAACTATTGAAGTCAAAATAAAATCATTCTTTCGATTTTCAAGGTGTTTTTCTTTCCCTAATTTTTCTCAAAATTATTGTGCCATTAGAATTCTAAACAATAACTTATATATTTTGGAGAAATTGTTGCTCAGAAATTAATTTTTGTTGCATGATATCTGGGGTTTTGCGTGCGGGATCTGGCATGCATTCAAATCATAAGTCGGCTGGTTCAAGTCTAGCCTCTTTTATTTTTAGCTGTTAGGACAGAAATACAAAATATTTGTAGCTTGGTTAACTTCATTTGATTGGTGATTAAAAATATAGTACACAAAACAACACAAATTACACATTAAGATTTCCTAAACATTTCACTCTACTTCAGTTGTCATCCGCTGTTCCGTGCTGCATGGCAGGCACCTTTAATCACATACAATGACCATATAATTGCATACACACTTGTTTTTCTTCTGAGCCAAAGTTGTTTTCTTCTCTACAGATAACAGGTATCTTCAGTCTGTTTTAATAAAGGCTTTTTTGTAATAATTCCCATGCACAGATTTGTGTTAACTTTTGATTTCTTTTGTTAGTGATTGAATTCAACTAAAATTCAAGAGGAAGTATTATAGGAAAAAAATTGGAATTGGACTCGTGCAATTCTCTAAATATTTGATTTGAACCACGAAATTTTTTGTGGAACAAGCTGAGATAGGTTTAGATAAGTCGTTTTGCACTTGACTATATCAAGTTTTGTTTTGCTGACAAAACCGCTATGTTGGAATTGTTTGCATGAGGCCACAATGGCCTAAGTAATTACTTGAATGAACAAAGTAAACCACTGAAAACTAATGTAAAAAGTATACCAGATGGACTTCCTCTGCATCCTCAAAAGTGTTCTCTTTCAAGAGTAAATAAAACCAAAATTAACCCTTTAAGGTCGGGTGTGGTATATAAACACTATGTATCTTGCTTGAGAGCTGGGTGAGACATATAAGCACATATTCCTATTTATTACAGACAGGTGGGGTTTTAAAACCACTATGACTCTGCTCTCTTTCCTTCGCTTGCTTTCATTGGTTAATGCACTTTTAACGTCATATTTTGATTGGATAAGCACCTTTACATCATAAGATATCATCCATTGAACCATCCAGCTTCCTCTACATCATCACATGCTAGCAAACGAAATATCTATTTATAGAAGGCTGTATTTACTGTAAAACAATGAGTTGTATTTGAATTAAATACATTTTCTTTCAGTTATTTGTTCATCATGAACAAACCATCTATGTCATCCTCATTCACACGTACCAAAAAAAAATCCCCTTTTAGCCATCAATTAATGCGTAAAATTATAGATGAATGGAGTGATAAAGAAGAATTGTCTGATTTGAGTGACATTCCTTCAGATAGCGATAATATTTCAAGTGATAAAAGTGAGCCTGAGGTATGTTCAGATAATAGTGATATTGGTAATATTACATGGATGATTTTGTGCCTTGTGACTAGTCATTCTCTAAAGAAAATTCAGGAATTTGTGATTCATTTCCTATTCAAGAGAATGCACCTGTTATTGAATATTTTCTAGCATATTTCGATAGTGAACTTATGAAGATTGTAAAGAATACTTATATGTATCGTGAATTTTGTGTACACAATTACGATGTACATCAAAAGGCAAAAAGCCAGTGTTGGAGTGAGACAAGAATTGATGAAATGTACTCTTTTTTTTTTACACTTATTTTACTAATGCCTCATGTGAAAAAATAATAATAAAAGAGTACCAGTCAAAAGATGCCATGATTGCTACAGATTTTTTTGGAAAATACATGACCACTGACAGGTTCCTTGAACTACTTAGAAGTACATTCATTTTCCTGATAATGAGCTTCCTGATACAAGTGATAGATTGTGGAAGATAAGGGAAGTGATTACTATTTTGAAGGAAAAGTTTTCTGCTTTTTTCTGCCTATTCCAAAAAATTGTGATTGATGAATCCCTAATGTTATTCAAGGGGAGATTGATATTCAAACAATACAAACCGTCAAAGCATCATAGATTCGGAATAAAAATCCAAATTCTCTGTGATTGTGAAACAGGAATTATTTTGGATTTTGTTGTTTATACAGGTACTGATATTGATGTTGCTAAAAAAAGCTCCTCATGAGGCTTCAGGTGCCATTGTGGAGAAATTGATACAGAAATATGAAAGGAAAAGCCACCTGTTGTACATTGATAATTGGTACTCTAGTCCTGGTCTATCTTTATATTTGGATTCATGTAATATTGGCACTTGTGGAACCGTAAGAGAAAACAGGAAGAATATTCCTAAGTTTGCTAAGCTGAAATCTGGTGAATGTAAAAGGAAGAAAAGTGGTAATTTGTTGGCTATACATTGGCGTGATAAACGTAATGTGACAATGCTTACCACTTTTCATGAAGGATAAATGGTTAACAGTGAAAAGATAACTCATAAAACAAATGAAACTGTCAAAAAACCTGATTGTGTAGTTGATTACACTCAGAATATGTGGTTTATTGTTAAAGCTGACACGCAATTGGCCACCATAGAATGTGTTAGAAAATCTGTAAAGTGGTACAAGAAGCTTTTTTTTCCATCTGATGGACCTAGTTATGCTAAATGCTTATAATACGTACCTAGTCAAAACAGGAGATTTCCATTTGAAATTAAAAGATTTCATTAGGGAGTTTATAAGGCAACTTCTTGAAAAATATGGTACCTTGAATAGTGTTAGGCCTAGTAGAACAGTGAATGGTAATACTGATGAGTGTTGTAAATTTTATGGAAAGACACTATCCTGACCATGTATCTTCAAAAGAAACTAAAAAAAAGATCAACACAGATGTTTTGTATGTTCTAATACTAGCAAGGTAGAAAAAAAAACTACCTATGTAACAACATGGTGTCCTGAATGCAAGGTTGGTCTATGTTTAGGTGGCTGCTTTAGAATTTATCATATATGAAAAACCTTTTAGAAAACTTGGTTAGAATTTTAGTATTAGTTTATAGAATAATGAAATTTGTTATTTTAATGTTTCTTACTATGTAAACATGCTTAGATTGTAAATAAATGTACTTATACGAATCAGCTTTTTTTTTTGTGGCCTGTTAAGAGTAACAAATATTTTTATTTCTTTGTTTTGAAGTTCATATGTCATGCTGTGTTGTATCCTACAAATGCATAATTATTCGCATGATTCATGGCACGTGCACGTTTTACTAACATCACAACAGTACAAACTGCAATGTAAAGCGCCTCTTATGTATTTTAGTGTCTACTGACTAATTGACAACACACTATAGTGGTGAGAATAATCAAAACAGATGACTCCTCCAGGTGGCCTTCAGCCCCCCTTTTGGGGAAATAAATTATCATAAAATGGCTTTAACCCTTTCACATCGGGTAGGTCAAAGTTTGCATGTCACAACCTTTTACACAGTTGCATTCAAAATTTAATTAAACTACTTTATTAAAAACAACATATACAAATGAAATTCACATCAAAACATAGTTAATAAATGAAGTTTTAATATTCTTTAAGTTTTAAGCTCTTAATTTTATTAGTCAATATTTAATAAAATCCTGAATTCCCTCTAGTGTGAAAAATGACAGTTTTTCTGTAGCCATTCCCTCTTCTTTAATTTATTTACCACCCCTCCAAGAAGTAGGAAATGTAATGTAAGTTACTCATTATAATGTTGTCATTGCTCAGACAAAGCATAATTTTCATAGCATTCAATCTTGTTTGGTTACAGAGCCATCAAATATAAAATCAGACCTCTCTTATCACACCCACCTGTCACATCCTCTCTTTCAGGATTTGTCAATAGTTTTCACTTATGTTTAATACTACATTATTTATAACCAATAGAAAGCCAAGGTTTATATCTATCAAATAGGTCTTATATTAGGTTGTTTTCTGTACAGAGAAATGTTACCTTCTCCTTCAGTATATGCTTCATTCCCATGGGAACACATTGACTAGCTTGGATGAATTTGTGACAGCTCTTGTCGCATTGATAGAAAGCCAGAAAAACTGTGATAGTTATGGGTTATATTCTGCTTTTTGCATGTTATTATTCTGTCTTCTTTGGAGCATTATTTGATTAAATAAAAAATTATTTACCGTAGTAGTATCATTAGTATAAAACGTAGGGTTATGTGTCATCAACAATCAACAGCAAAAAGAAGGCGACCCAGGTAAGTACTTTACGTTTTTCATGTGTATTCTTTATTTATTATTATAAAAGTAACAAAAATGTAAAAATTAGAAACTTTTTTAAGGTTAGATAAAGTAAAATAAAGAACAACAAAATTTTTTTCACAGGGTAGTGTTTGTGCTATGTAATTTGATAGGGTAATGTGAGCTGTATGTTTGCCAGGTAATTTTAAATTTTATGGCAGGAATATTAGTTTTAAACATGGTTAAAAGGGCAATAAAACAATAAAATTTAAATGTAAACAGATGTATACTGTTATCATATTTAAGCTATTTAGGATAAATAAATAAAGTTTAATGTTACAATTCGAAGTCATTCTAGAAAGAAAAATAGAGTAATTTAGATTTATTTACATTATTTTTGGGTGGTTGACCAACCTCATATAGAGTTAGGATAAAGAAAATAACAGATAAAATATAAAGTTTTCTGGAAAAAAAATTAATATTTATTTAGGATATTTCAGAATTTATGCAAACGAAGAACGAAAATCTTAAGACGAAGAAAAGTATTCTTAATCTTAATATGAAAATCACTTTGCACTCGGAGCAGTCAACATTGTGACACCATATAATTATGTAGAAACTTTAAGTAAACAAAATTAATAAAAAATTATGATTTTTTTGTTTTAAAATTTCCTGAAACTTTGTCTTATTTTGTGAAGATAAAATAAGTACTTTCAGTGTTATAGTATGTATACCACCATGGTAACACGGAAGTTATCAGGTGCTGCAAAATTCATCAGCCTGTG